CTTATAGTATCCTGGGAAGTTATGTAACATATAAAAATTTGTAGTAGTCGGTTTGTATCCAGTCTTATGTAAACAAGTTATCAATGTAAAATATTGTTTTTATGAATATGCAAGTAGCATGTTTTGGAGTAACAATTGTCAAGTATGAAAGTTTGGGTCTTTCAGAAATATGAAAGTTTAGAAAAGGGTTCTTTCAATTACCAGGGTACTACCGAAGATTCATACAAGATTTCTCCAAGATTGCAGTACCCCTCACTCGTCTGACGAGGAAGGGGGTGGATTTCCGGTGGGGGCCCTGAGCAGCAGAGGGCGTCTGAGACCCTCCGACAGTGTTTGTGCGAGGCTCCAGTGTTGACTCTTCCAGAAGGAATCGACGATTTTGTGGTGTTCTGTGATGCCTCCATCACAGGACTGGGGGCGGTCCTCATGCAGAGAGGACGGGTGATAGCCTACGCATCGCGGCAGCTGAAGCCGCATGAGACGAGATACCCTACACATGACTTGGAGTTAGGGGGTATTCGCTCTCAAGATTTGGAGACATTACCTCTATGGGGTGGAGCTGTACCATATACACGGATCACAAGAGCCTGAGACACATCATGGATCAGCCAAACCTGAACATGAGGCAGCGCAGGTGGCTGGATGTAGTCAAGGACTACGATTGCGAGATCCTTTACCACCCCAGTAAAGCGAATGTGGTAGCGGACACTTTGAGCCGCAAGTCAGCTGGGTCTTCCACCCCAGCGGTATGTATGAGGATAGCGGTGGATTATCCGCTTGTGAGCTTGATCAGGGATGATCAGGTTGAGGGCATGCGATAAGAGAACTGGAAGTTGGAGAGGATCAGGGGTGATAACACTCGGTTTGTGCAGGATAGTCGGGGACTGCTGACCCGATGCGGTCGGGTATGGGTTCCGATGTCTGGTGGGGTCAGACAGACAATGATGGAGGAGGTTCACAAGTCTCACTTCTCTATTCACCCGGGAGCCACCAAAATGTACCGGGATTTGAGTTTAAGTTACTGGTGGCCGTGCATGAAGCGAGAAAATCGCATGGTATGTCGAGAGGTGCTTGGCCTGTAGGATGGTCAAGGCCGAGCATCAGAGGCCGCATGGTATGCTGCAACTCCTGGATATTCCCATGTGGAAATGGGAACATATCACGATGGACTTCATTACCAAGCTGCCAAGGATGGCAAAGGGGTTTGATGCGATATGGGTCATCGTGGATCGATTGACCAAGAGTGCCCATTTCCTGGCCATATGGGAGAGTTCATCGGCCGAGAATTTGGCCGATGTGTATGTCCGCGAGATCGTCGCTCGCCCCGGGGTTCCGGTCTCCATTGTTTCTGACCGAGATGTTAGATTTACCTCCCGTTTCTTGTAGAAGTTCCACGAGGATCTGGGCACGCGTCTGCATTTTAGCACAACATATCATCCTCAGACCGATGGTCAGAGCGAGCGGACCATACAGACCCTCGAGGACATGTTGAGGGCGTATGTTATTGACTTTGGTGGGAGCTGGGATTCCCACCTACCCCTTGCAGAGTTCGCCTACAACAACAGCTATCATTCCAGCATTGGCGCCCCGCCTTTCGAGCTGTTGTATGGGATGAGATGTTGCACCCCAGTTTGTTGGCGTGAAGTCGGACATAGGGTGATGGGACAGACGGAGGTAGTCTTGCAGACTACCAAGAAGATTCAGCAGATTAGGCAGCGACTGCAGACCGCTCAAAGTCGGTAAAAGAGTTACGCCGACAGACGCCGATCTGAGTTAGAGTTCCAGGTTGGGGACATGGTACTCCTGAAGGTCTCGACCTGGAAGGGTGTGATCCGCTTCAGAAAGAGGGGGAAATTGGGTCCCCGGTATATTGGGACATTCAGGATTATTGTCAGGGTTGGCAAGGTGGCTTACAGACTAGAGCTACCGGAGGAGCTCAGTCAGATCCACAACACTTCTCACGTTTCGTAAATGCGAAAGTGCATTATGGATCATAAGGTGGTGGTATCATTGGATGACATTCAGGTCGATGAGCGTCTGAATTATGTTGAGAGGCTCGTGGCCATTCTGGAGAGGAAAGTGAAGGTTCTACGGAACAAGGAGATACCTTTGGTAAAGGTACAGTGGGAGCACCGAAGAGGGTCCGAGTGGACGTGGGAGCCGAAGACAGAGATGCGGGAGCACTATGCGGAGTTGTTTACCGCGGCAGACTTCGAGGACGAAGTATAGTTCAAGTGGGGGAGAATTGTAACGCCCCGATTCCCAGGTATTGATTTATGGTTATAAATTTTCATGATTTTAAGGTCTACTCGATGAGTTGGTTGCTCTGACTCGTCGAGTAGCAGCGGGTTGGTCCACGTGTTTAAGTGACCTACTCGCCGAGTCCAAGATAGGACTCAACGAGTAGGAGATGGAGGATGAAATCCTAATTTCTGGGGTTTTTCACCCTATTTAAGAGATCATTAGCCTCCTTTGGCCTCCTTACAGTCCCTTGAGAGCTCAACAAACCCTAATACATATGTGTGTATGTGCTCTATTTGTGTGTTTTAAGCTTTGGAAGAGGATTCTTGGTGAAAAGAGCTTGGAGAACAAGTGACTAGAAGCAAGGAACAGGTGGGAATCTGAAATCTACCTTAGTTAGCATCAATTGAAGGTATCAAGTCGTTATCTTGACCTCATTTCCTTCTAGATCTCATTTGGGTGAAGTTTAGGGCCTTTCTAGCATATTAAGAAGCTTTTCTTGTGTATGAGGTAAGATCTGAAGTTGCAACTTCAGATCTGAGCTCTCTTGGGTCTCTAAGTCCATAAAGCTTCCAGCTTTTGCAAGTATGAAACTCTCCTTAGGTGTAAAACTCCATTACAAGCTTGGATTTGTCATTTAGAGTCTTTAGAGCCTTGCATGCACGTAAAGTTTGCAACTTTACGTGATAAACATGCCTTGGGGAATTGGATTTGCAATATGGAACCTTAACATGGCTTAAAAAGCATCTGAATGGATGAAGGACTAAAGGGACTCGACGAGTTGCATGGTCAACTCGGCGAGTCCGATGAAGATTGTCGTGCAAGACTTCTGCATGGACTCGGCGAGTCAGTGGGGTGACTCGGCGAGTCAACTAAGGTTTTCCTGACATTGGACACGCATGAACTCGGCGAGTTGTAGGGAAACTCGACGAGTCAGTGGGGGGATTTCACGACTACTCGAGTTTTAGAAGGACTCGACGAGTCGGTGACTGTACTCGACGAGTCGGGTCAACATGAACTGTTGACCTTGACCGTTGACTTTGACTTTGACCAAGGGTTGACTATTTGACTTCTGGGGAATTTTGGGAATTTATGAACATGGTTGTGTGGAGAATATAGGTGGTGGAGTTTGTGGCGGTGATCCGAGAGTTTGAGCTTATCTTTCGAGTCGATAGTTGCGAGGTGAGTTATCCTCACTATACTAAAAGGTCTAAGGCACCAAGGCCGACCCATTGGATATGATATCCTAGCATTTGGTAGTATGTTTAGTATGAGTTAGTGTTTCATGCTAGTTGCTATGCCAGTTAGGTAGATTTGTAGGACTACCTGTGTTGTTATATGATTAGTTGTATGCTCAGTGGTTGTGTTATATGTTGATATGTTATGTGGGATGGGTTGAGGTGATACTGCTCCGTGCGGTAACCAACAAACCCGGGAGCATTCGCTAAGGGAGACTCGTACTGTGGGCTCGAGAGCATTCCAGTTACGAGCTGAGGGAGATTCATATTGTGGGCTCAATGGCAAGCCAGATGTGAGCTGTGGGCTCGTAAGGCAATACAGACTCACACTGTGGGCCCAAGGGGTAATCCAGCCTGTAAAGTTGTGGACCCAGTACATGTTGTTGTTTATATATGTGTTATGTGCAGTATATCGGTATTTTGGGGGAACTCACTAAGCCTCGGGTTTACAGTTTTAGTTTATTGTTTCGGGTACATCAGGGGATCGCAGCAAGATGAAGGCGTGATCGTACATCTCCTCATGTTTTGTTTCTGTTTCTGGGAAAACTCTGATATAAACTATTTTGAAAACAAATTTCTAATAACTGTTGGTTTTAAATGTTTTGAAAGTTTTAAATTGGCTTGAATTTTATGGGTGTTACAGAAAGCTGTTGTTGTAGGAGAACTCTGCAAGGGGTAGGTAGGAGTCCCAGCTCCCACCAAAGTCAATAACACAGGCTCTCAACATGTCCTCAAGAGTCTGTATAGTCCGCTCACTCTGGCCTTCCGACTGCGGATGATAGGCTGTACTGAAGTGCAGTCGTGTGCCCTGTACGCGCAGCATACAAGCCAGATTGCATGTACGCTTAGCTTACAGCTGAGTACGCCCCGCATACTCATTCAGGAGTGTTTTGGCCTTTTGGGCTTCGTTTTGGGCTTAGATGTTTGAGTTCTTAATGGGTCATCTGAATATGAGTTTCTTGGGCTAGGAATTTTGGTTGGGCTTTAGGGTAAGGCCCATGAAAGGGGTTTGGGCCCAATTTGGAAAATTGGTTCAGAAGGTAATTTACTTAATTCTAATTTCAGGTTTCTGAAACTCATAATTTTGTGTTATTAGTTATTGAATCATCTTGTTCGATAATATGCAGTGTGTAGACAATGGGAAGGATGTTATACACTTAGCAATTATAGATCTATTAGCAAGAGTTCTTTGTGTTCACGTGTTTGGCTCTAGTATTATAGTGCTACAAAATACCCCTATAGTATTTTAAACGTATGTTCGGTTCTAGTGTTTCACTTGTATAGAGTTGGGTAAGTTTTAGACTTATTGCAACACTACTATCACTCCCAAGCACATGTTGGTCGTATCTCAAATAAATATAGTTGATCAGGCTATATTTATCCCAGATATAATTACATAACTGCCCGGGTTTAACCATAGTGTCCAACATCTAAATAATTGTTCACAACCATGTCGTCCCTTCGAATTTTCTGAGATCCTCTTAGCAACCGATAACTTCAATGAATCATTAGTAATCAGGCATGGGGGATTTGGAAAGGTTTTCAAATGTAACGTTATCAATGGATCAAGTGTTGTCGTTTTTGTCATTAAACGGTTGGATTCCATGTCCTCCCACGGAGTTCTGGACGGAAGTTAAGATGCTTTTTAAGTTGCGTCACTGTCATCTTGTGTCTTTGTTTTGTTACAGTAATTACGAAGAAGAGATGATCCTCATCTACGAATATATGCTGAATGGAACCCTCGAAGACCACCTCCATAAACTTGGAACCCCTCTTTCTTGGGCTCAGCGACTCAATATCTATATAGGTACTGCTCGTGGGTTAGATTACCTCCACACAGGTACCGGGATCGAGTTTGGTGTTATACATCGTGATGTCAAGAGTTAAATATTCTGTTAGATGACAACTGGGCAGCTAAAATCTCAGCCTTCGGGTTGTCCAAAATAGGCGCAACCAATAAGCCATCTACTTATGTCAAGACACTTGTTAAAGGCACCTTTGGGTATCTTGATCCAAATTATTTCACAACTGGAATGCTAACCAGGAAGTTTGATGTGTTTTCTTTTGGGGTGGTCTTGTTGGAGGTTTTGTGTCGGAAACGTTTAGTGGATGGAAGTCTTGATGAGGAGCAATGGGGTTTAGTGCCATGGGCTCAAGAATCTATCAAAGAAGGCAATTTAAAGAATATAATTGATTCTGGTATAAAGAGTCAAATATCCCCAAAATGTTTGAAGGAGTTTGCTCGAATTGCAAACAGATGTTTGCAAAACAATCCAAAGCAGCGTCCTACAAATGCTTGATTCTCCTTATACATTAATTCATAGTGTTCTTTCACTCAGTAACATGATATGTGTGGTAAAAAAATTAATTTTCTTTTTTATTGAAGTTTGTGGTGTGGGATTTCTCAAATTGAAGCTCAAACAACATATCTGGTATTGCTTTTTTTTTTATAATAATGTTGGTTTGAGAGTAAAATAATTCAATGATTCAAAAATTAGAAGTTATAAAATAAATATGGCCCGATTTTAAGAAACAGAAGTTAATAAATTGCATCTAAACAAATTGTGATGAAGTTTCAATGAAAGTTACCAATACGAGATGACATTATTAAAGTGCTAAATGCAAGAAATAGCAATACGAGATGAATTAAATTTATGTTTTATGTTGTTAATGCAACTCACGAGCCCTTTGATTTCTTAGAACAATGCTAGAATTTTTATTTTATAAATCCTTTGGCGAATATAACTTCAATTTTTTTGTTGAATTCAGACAGTGGAGAGTAGCTTTGGACGGATGGCTCATCCGAATATTATTAATCTCTTGGGGTATTTTCATGATAAAAAGGATAATTGCTTGCTTGTTTACGAACACATGCAAATGAAAAACCGAAATCTAAGTCACGTCTTATTTGATGGTAATAAATATACTTGAATCTCTCCCAGAAAACTATTTTCGAATTATTTTTACTAATAAGTTGAATTCTTGCAATGAAATAGATATTGCTAAACCACTTTCATGGGAAAGACGCCTTATTATGATGATAGGTGTAGCGCGTGGACTCGCTTATATGCACTCGTCAAAAGAACAAGTCATACACGGTTGTATTAAAACCTTTAATATATTGCTGGATCAGGTACTTTCAAGTTTTTTAGGGGCAATCTCTTTTTGGTTTTCAGCCATAAAAGTTGATGAATTTATTTTTATTCCAGAATATTAATGTGAAACTCAGGTGCTTTGGTTTGGCTAAATTTCATCCTAATATCGATGAGTTAGATGAGATGAAAGAGGCTACGAGAAGTAACATGGATATCGGGCGTTTTCTAGACCGAGGGGATCAACTTACTGGTAGGTTACCATGTATGAAAGTGATATTTGATCCAGTGATGGTGTCCCACATTAATATGAAGATAAAACATCATAGAGTAGCTTGAAAGGTTAATATATCTATATCTTGTGATTATGTACAATAAAACTTCATTGTTTCAAGTGAGTTGACTGTGAAGAGTGACATCTATAGTTTTGGAGTGGTGTTGTTTGAAACCCTAAGAAGCCAACGTGCATCAGCGCCAAATTTTGGATTTACCTCACTCGCAACAAGATGTGTAGCTGAAGATCCTGAGGCTAGGCCTTCAAGCGAAGAAATTTTAAAGAGGTTGGAACAAATATATTCTAATAACAAATAATGGATAAAAGATATGATGTCATACTTCTTAGACTTGGGTTGTTTAATGAGCTACATGATAGATGTACGCTCATTTTTCTACTTTATACTATTCATTTTTGCATGCACCGTAAAATCTTTACCCATGAAATATTTTTCTTGTTGTAAGTTGAATGATTAATTATTCATGTCATATAAAACGTTTGACTAAAAATAATTCAAAAATAAATTTTAAGAGAGATTCACGTAGCTTAGCCACGAAATGACCATGCATTTTCCTTGGATGTGTCTTTTATTAAACATTTTATCATATATGCGATCTTAGTCATATTATATCACCAATGAACATAGTATTAATAATATATTTTAAAAGTTAAGACAAATAATGGTTTTTGATAATACAGTTAATAAATGTAATAAGATAAATATAAGAATAAGAAACAAATAATAATATAATCAACAGCAAAGGCTGCTATTCTTTGGTACGTTGACTATAAAACTTTTGGAGTAACGTTGACTTGGTCTCTGTTTAAATGAAGAAGATAGGCTTTTGAGTTTTTGTATGGTTGATTATAAATTGTCAGTATCAAGTATGAAGCTACTCATTCTGCCTCTATAACATCAATAATTATGGGTGACGGCAATGAATCTCAGCCCTCGACCTCCTCCTCCATAGAATGGTCACAACCATGCCGTCCCTTCGAATTCCCTGAGATTCTCTTAGCAACCAATAACTTTGATGAATCATTAGTAATTGGGCATGGGGGATTTGGAAAGGTTTATAAAGGTAACGTTATCAATGGATCAAGTGTTGTTGTTTCTGCCATTAAACGACTGGATTCCATGTCCTCTCAAGGTGCATCGGAGTTCTGGGCGGAAGTTAAGATGCTTTCCAAGTTGCGTCACTGTCATCTCGTGTCTTTGTTTGGTTACTGTAATCACGACAAAGAGATGATCATCATCTACGAATACATGCCCAATGGTACACTGGAAGATCACCGTCATAAACTGTGTACCCATCTTTCTTGGATTCAGCGACTCAAGATCTGTATAGGTACAGCTCGTGGGTTAGATTACTTACACACTGGTACTGGGGTTGAGTTTGGTGTTATACATCGTGATGTCAAGAGCTCTAATATCTTGTTAGATGACAACTGGGCAGCTAAAATTTCAGACTTTGGGTTGTCAAAAATCGGCGCAACCAATCAGCGATCTACCTATGTCAATACACTTGTTAAAGGCACTTTTGGGTACCTCGATCCAAATTATTACACTACTGGAAGGCTTACCAGAAAGTCTGATGTGTATTCTTTTGGGGTGGTTTTGTTGGAAGTGTTGTGTCGGAAGCGTGCAGTGGATAGAAATCTTGATGAGGAGCAATGGGGTTTAGTGTCATGGGCTCAAGAATCTATCAAAGAAGGCAATTTAAAGAATATAATCGATTCTGGTATAAGGGGTCAAATATCCCAAAAATGTTTGAAGGATTTTATGCGGATTACAGAGAGATGCTTGCACAACAATCCAAAGCAGCGTCCTACTATGGCTGAGGTTGTGGTCAGCCTTGATTCTATGCTGACCTTACAACAGAAAGTTGATACTTCCTTGCAGACTGCTGGCAAAAAGATATATGGAAAGATGATTAATATGTTTCCCTTCCCCTTTCATGGAGAGAATTCAGGTATTTCAAGCTCCTATTTGTGTGTATAGATTCTTTTTAAATTTTAGTATGTCCAACTCTGCATATACTAGAGAAAAGTTAAATAGCAATTTAATTTTCTTTGTATTCGTATACCTCAGCGCATGATGATTCGACTCTATCAAGTAATAGCAAGGACGACAAAGCTGATTCCACAGTTCCTATAACTCCAAGTTTGAAAATATATAAGTTTTCTGATTTGGAAATGATTACCAAAAACTTTAGTCAAGATTCGGTGGTCGATAGGGATTGTTTTGGTGAGGTGTACTTAGGTTGGGTTGACGAGAAAACATTCGCCCCATCAAAAGAGGGTGTTGGAATTCTTGTTGCTGTTAAAAACTACAATGCTGATGTTTTGCAATGGAATGTAAGAGCATCCACAATGCATTGAACTCTATAGAGTTCAATGGATTGCCATATATTTTTTTTACACTCCATACAACTCTATCATTTTTTCGTACTATGCATTGAACTCTACAAAGTTCAATATGAAGTTACAAAAACTAATTTATAGTATATATTTAAGATTAGAAAACTTTCATTTTTCCCATCGAAGAGTTCAATGACCATTGAATTCCAAATTCATTGAATGTCAATGTGGCATCTTACTATGATAGAGTTTTATCCATTGATTGACAACCAGACATGCCACCTCATTAAAGCCTCTTATTGAACTCACCATTATGGATACTCTAAGTATCAATAAATATAAATAAAATTATATCTTTTATCAAGAAAAGAAATTTAGATTTCCATAGAAAACTGTTGGACTCTATATGGTTATTGATGTTGTTTGTGAGATCAGGCACGGGCGACCAGGTTTGGACAATTGGCTCATCCAAATATTATTAGTGTCTTGGGATTGTCCGTTGATGAAAAGTATTTACTTGTTTATGAGCACATGCAAATGCCAAACAGAAATTTTAGCCGCTTCTTATTCGGGGGTAATATATTGAACCATTACAATAAAAAAAAGTTAAAAAAAAAACCTATTCTAGAATTATGTTTGCTCAAAACTTGAATTGTTGCACTGAAATAGATGTTGTGGAACCACTTTCATGGGAAACACGCCTTCTGATAATGATAGGAGTTGCCCGTGGACTCGCTTATATGCACTCATCAAAAGAACAAGTCATACATGGTGGTATTAAAACCTTTAATATATTGTTGGATGAGGTACTTTTAACCTACTTAAGTTTTTTTAGTGGCAATACTATTGGTTATAAAAGTTTAACGGTTTATTATTATTCCAGAATTTTAGTGCGAAACTCGGGTATTTTGGTTTGCCTGAATTTCACCCTAAATCCATGGAATTGGACGACGAGATTTCAAATACAACACGTGACCAAGGGTATCAACATAATGGTAGGTTACCATGTATGGAAGTGATATATAAATGAGTGATGATATGACAACATCACATATCTCTCTCTCTCTCTCTCTCTCTCTCTCTCTCTCTCTTAAATACCCTCCTACTTTTGTCCTACAAATCTTCCTATCGAATTAAATGATGACATTTGTCATATTAGTGTATTAACATATCATTAAACGGACATTAAATGTTACACATGTCATTATTTAATTGGATAAAAAGATTTGTAGGAACAAAAAGTAGGAGGATATTTAATTTCTCTCTATGAGAAATTAAATATCCTCTTACTTTTGTTCCTACAAATCTTCCTATCAAATTAAATGATGACATTTGTCATATTAGTGTATTAAAATATCATTAAATGGACATTAAATGTTACACATGTCATTATTTAATTGGATAGGAAGATTTGTAGGTACAAAAAATAGGAGAATATTTAATTTTTTTTTTCTCTCTCTCTCTCTTTATATATATATATATATATATATATATATATATATATATATATATATATATATGTATATATATATCCCTATTCTAATAAATGAATAGTTTTAATCTCATTTTGCCAAGTGTCATTCTAATATAACTCTTCATTAATATTATGTCATTTGTCATATAGATATATTAGGCAACTCATTTTAAAATTCAAATTTATATTTTCTAATTATATGTTAAATTTGAAGTTAAAATAACTTTAAAAATATGATATATCTCCTAATTAATAATTTATTTAAAATGATTTATTTAAAATAATTGATTAATAATTCTAAATTTTTATTATGAAAATTTAATTAATTTTTTAGCCCGTGGTTCCCACGGGTTATAAACTAGTATATATCTATATATATATATATATATATATATATCTATATATATATATATATATATCTATCTATATATTGGATGAAATTTAATAGAAAACCATTATTAACAACGAACCAAGGAACCAATCGTGAACGTCGATATTTAAAACGATCAACGGTTTGTACATTAGACGTATATATACCAGATTATACCATAAAATTTACATTTTTTGTTCGTTTAATTTTTTTAAGTCATGTCTTTTATCAGAAAAAAAATCAAATCTACTGTTGTTCACGATTTTTCGTCATTTTTCCATAGAAATCCATGTTGATATAAAAGTTTATTTTTATCCAAAAAAACTAATTATATCAAAATTTCCATTTTTTTGCCCTCTATTAATTAATATCAACATCGATTTATAAAAAAAAAAAAAAAAAGTTCTCGATCAATTTAGATTCATAGTGTGAATCTGAACTGTAAATATTTCAATTTTAACATTCACAATGTGAATCTGAGCAGATTTACTATGTGAATCTATACTGAAATTTCGTTTTGTTTAATAATTTAATATGAATCTATGTTTAAAGAGTACCAAAAAAAAACATGAATTTTGATATATTTATTTAAAAATTTCGATAAAAAATAGGTCTTAACTTTTCAAAAAACAAACAAATGAAGTGGTTTTTTTCTAAAAAAACTATATATTTTTTGTATATCAATATGGATCTCTATGGAAAGATGACAAAAAATTATGAACAATGGTATATTCGGGTTTATTTTTTCGATAAAAACATGGCCTAAAAAAATTAAACGAAAAAAAAGAAGTGAGTTTGTTATAATCCGGTCCATGTGCGTCCATCGTAAAAGTCTACAACCTTTTTTTTAACGTTGATCGCTTTAAATTCTGACACTTTATATTGGTTCTTTGGTTTGTTGATTAATAATGGTTATCTATTGAACTTATATATATATATATATATATATATATATATATATATATATATATATATATATATATATATATATATATATATATATATATATATAGAGAGAGAGAGAGAGAGAGAGAGGTAGGTCCAAATGTTTCTCATATCTATTGTGTGCTAGAATGCACCAATAAGAATTTAGTAATAACTATGTGTATATTAAATGTTATTCATACTTATAACTCTTTTTATGGAAACTAATTAAATTCGTCAATAATGTCAACAATAATATTCTTTCAGAATGAATACGTATCTAGAAGAATGAGAGTGTTTCCAGCAGAATGAGAGTGTATTCTACTAGAATACACTCTCCTTCTTCATATTTAATGCAAATTTATTGTATTTTAAGTAAGTGAATCCTGAAACAAAAAACGCTCATGTATAAAACCTAGATGCGAATTCATTCTGAAAGAATGTTATTGTTGACATTAATGACAAATTTAATTAGTTTCCATAAAAAGTGAATTATAATTATGAATATCATTTAATATACACACAATTATGGAAATCATTTAATATCTATATTTATTTAATTAAATAATTATTTAATATACTAAATTTCTATTGGTGCATTTTAGCACAGAATAAATGTAAGCAACACAATAACCTAGCCAATTATATATATATATATATTATATATATATATATATATATATATATATATATATATATATATATATATATTGGTTTTGCTAAAAATTTCCCTAAAATCCATGAATCAGATAAAAAAGAAGATGCTACTACAAGTGACATGGATATTCGACGTTATATAGACCGAACGACTCAAGGTAGATTTCCATGTAAGGATGTGGTATTTATGTTGGATTTTTGTCCTCTCTCCTTTGGTGAGAAAATCTTGGACTGAACCTATCTAACAAATAACAACTAATGGGTTTTGCTTTGTTTAGTTTCATGTTTGTATTTCATATTGGTGCGACATAGTCCCTTATGTCTCTATACATATGTTGGAGTTTATCTTCTCTCCATAAGTTTTTTTTGGATAAACAATCTTGGACTCACATATAGCTTACATGTTATTAAAGCCAATGTCTATATATCTAGTAGCTTAACACATTTATGTCCATCCTCATCTAGATTGCGTCTCTAAGGTGGAGTGTTAGTGTATTCCACATTGGTGCCACATAGTACATAAATACATATATCTGTTGGAGTCTCTCCATTTTCTATAAGAGATTTTTGGAGAGAGAATCTTGAATATCACATATATTTTACAATTCCTGTGAAACATAAGAATAATCCTTTTTTGATAAAATGTTGAAAAATTAATATGAAGAAAAAGCATCATTGTTGTAATTTTGACTCAAGTCTATATTTGAAAAAGAAACGATGCTTTGTTTAAAAAAAATACAACCAAGTTTTGTGGTTTGAAAAGTTAATATCTCTATATTTTGTGATTATTAACAATACAGTTTATTGTTACAGGTAAGTTAACTCTCAAGAGTGACATTTATAGTCTTGGAGTGGTGTTGTTTGAAACCTTAACAAGCAAACGCTCATATTCTGGATTCACTTTGGTAAATTGGATAAAGCCATTTTTAGAGGACAAAAGCAAGTTAAAGGGTATAATAGATCATCGTCTTAATCAAAATTATCCATTAGAAGGTGCTTTTGAATGCCTTGTACTGGCAACAAAATGTGTAGCCAAAGATCCTAATGATAGGCCTTCAAGCGAAGAAGTTTTGAAGAGTTTGGAACAAATATATTTTGATAACAAATAATGTATAAAAGATATAGCGTTTTACTTGTGTAAATTTAATGCTCATTCAAGAAAGTTAAAATGATCGCAATAATATTACCTAAAAGAAAAAGAAGCCTATGTTCCATTTTAAGTATATTCATATCATACATACACCATTATAACTCCCTGTCATATAATCATTTACAATTAGGCAACGATGCGCTGTAGCGTTAGAACGGCAAATGAGAAAATATGTAGCTGAAGTTCGATCTCAAGTTATCTACTTTTTTTTAGAATCTCAAATGAATCGTCTCATATATATATATATATATATATATATATAATATATATATATATATATATATATATATATATATATATATATATATATATATATAGGGCTAGGTTATAATGTAGATGGACAACTATTGTGTGGACGTGTAGATAATGTTATTTTATGAAAATTACTAAGAGAATATGTTATTTAGTAATGTGAATACGTTCAATCTCACAGAACTATTGTTATTTTAATGGATTCTCACTAATTCTAATTCATTTTTGTTCTCGTGCATCGTTTTTCATTTATTTTCATTCTTACAGAATACGACTCAATAAACAATAAACATCCTGATAACATTCTGACAGAATGAGAATAATTAAAAAAAAAAGCCTATAATAACCTTATAGACGATTTAATTAGTGAAAATACGTATTAATTACAATAATTATATAAGATTGAATGTATTCATATTATCAAACAACATATTTTCTTTGTCATTTTTACAGAATAGCATTATCCACACGTCCACACAATAGATGTCAATCCATATTTGAACCTAGCTATATATATATATATATATATATATATATATATATATATATATATATATATATATATATATATATTCGTATATGAATATTATATGTTCCGTCATCTCGGTACACTGGAGCGTTTAAGCAACAAATTTAAAATATGCGAAAATATAGTTACCTTTATATTCACATATGAATATTACATTACCCCGTCGCCCCGGTACGTAGGAGGGTTTTATGGCAAAAAAGAAATATATGGCTCAGATTTGTTATCGCATTCTCAATTATATAATTGTTCTCATTTGAACCTAAGTGTATGTGTGTGTGTGTGTATATATATATACACACACACAGAATATATATATATATATATATAATATATATATATATAGAGAGAGAGAGAGAGAGAGAGAGAGATCTAGAGAAAGTGAATATATATTACAGCCCCACCTAAGCTTAAATACTAAACATCATGAAACTACATCGTTTTATTAGTTAAAGATTGTAATTAGGAGATTCATGATTAACACTTAACGTTGGAGATTCAATATTAAAGCAATAATTTTGATACGGAAACAAAAATGTTAATATTCTATGACCTTCGTGATAGTGGAAAACAGTAATTTTCACTGACGTGAACTAATAATAAACGATAATGGAGGAAAGAAAACATGGATGGTTAAACGATAATAGAGAAAAGAAATGCAATGGGGAATTGTCTATTTACCAAGTGAAAACTAAACTGGTTATATTTACTAAGATAAAACTGCATAATTTAGAGGTTTAGTACCTAAGCTTAGGTGGGCTGTAATGTATATTCCCAGACCCTCCGATGTAGAGTCAATAACCCACGACTGCCATAATCAAACGAGGCCACATGGCCTACGATCCACTCACATTTCCAGCGCTCTTCCTTCATACCCTCAACATGTGCCTCCTGAATCCGCTCCAAAAGCGGAGTCACTATTTTCATCCTCGTGCAGATGTCTCTGATCAGGGCTGCGAATGCCTTGCAGCTAAGTGCATCGGCCACAACGTTGGCCTTCCCCAGGTGGTACAGGATCTCACAGTCGTAATCCTTCACAACGTCCAGCCATCGTCGCTGCCTCATGTTCAGATTTGGCTGGTCCATCAGATACCTCATGCTCTTGTGGTCTTGTGGTCCATGTAAATTGTACAATGGACCCCATAGAGGTAATGTCGCCAAATCTTGAGGTCGAAAACAACCGCCCCCAACTCCAGATCTTGTGTCGGGTAATTCGCCTCGTGAAGCTTCAGCTGCCTCGAGGCATAGGCGATGACATGCCCCCTCTGCATCAACAATGCGCCCAAACCCGAGATAGATGCATCACAATATACTACAAAATCATCGAATCCCTCTGGCAGGGCTAAGATCGGCTGAAGAGGAACTGTAATGAGAAATCGAATAGGATCAGAGTTAAACAAGCTAAAGATCAATCAAGAACATAGAATGTAAATAGAATCTGGTTTCAGCTCATATTACTCTCAAATGAACAAGAGTACAAAAATAGACAACATACTGGGAAAACTGTTATCTAACTCTAAGTTCAGTTCCTATTTATAGGAAACTGAGAGTACAAAAAATACTGAGTCTAGGAGTTACGCTTCGAACATAAAATGACTTAGTAAATACATTACATACGAAATAAAGCAAATACACTTTGACTCTTTACAACAAGACTTCGACCCTAACAATCTCCCCCTTTGTAAACGAGTCGAACTACTCAGTTCGTGAGAATCTGAGAAGCGAAGTGCATCATCCTTCTGATTTCCGAATACCAAGTTAACACTTTCTTCAACTCGGTTTTATCTCCTTCATTATTCTTCGTACAACTATTCATACGAACAATGAAGTTCGTATATTGTGAAGTTGTGTATCTTTCTATCTCAGCAACTTGGAATAAGAATCTTTTGGCTTTCCCCTTTGTATCTTTTCCCGCAAACACCATGCCAAAAGGTTTTAAGCATATCTCACCATCTGCATACTTCTTCAGTTCTGGTTGAGGCTTCGAAGGTAACATAGAAACTGTTATTTTCCTTTCCACACCTGAAGCCAACTCTTCGTCCGTCAGGGACAGACAATCATATTAATTGTCAATGAAAATTTTAATGTGAGCAAGACCAAGTCTGAACACATTGTTGTTTGTACCCTTGAGTTGAGATGCTTCCATATCCTTCAAGATTAATGCAACTTGAATCAGATCATTCAAGTTCATTAGTGGAAAATCTGCTACACTGAAATCGGCTTGTTGATTGTTCGCACGAACTACATGATACCTAAAATTTTGTATCATGTTTTCGAACAAGACATCTTTCTTTATTGCAACAACCTTCTTGATTTTGATAAGAGACCACACCTCTTCGGGTTCCTTTCAAAGTATAGCATGTAAACGAATTTTCATGTGTGTGTAGTCATCAACATTTTCAAACTTCTCGCTTATTTTGTACTGAGCCATAATGAACTGTTGGGTTTTGAGCATTCTAACACTCCTATGGTGTACATGCAACCCTATAAACCTTGGATCTATGTTTTCTCTATTATACATGCAAATATTAACTATTCCAAGGTTTCATCCTAACTAGCATATTATGAAGCACCTATACTACAAAGTTCTAGTTAGATGACATACCTTTTGATGTAGCTTGATGTCTTCAAGCTTTAAGAGCTTAGCCCCAATAGTGTGGAAGCCTCAAATGGAATCACAAATCACCAAAACACCTTGGAAGAACTTGAGAGAATATGTATGCACACTAAAATCGGCTCACTCTTATTTTCACACACTTGTGCCAATTTTGTGAGCCAAGGACCCCTTTATATATTATGGAGGATTAGGGTTACATCCATGTAAACCCTAATACCCATGACCTTTCATTTACATAGGATCCATGGGCTAAAAGCTCCATGGACCATCCATGAAAGCTTAGCCCAACCTAAATGAACTTGGCCAATTCCATATATATAAGAGTCCATATTTAATTAGTTCTTTTTGATCACTTAATTAATTCTAAATTAATTCTTGATCAATATTAATTAAATAATATGATTATGTATTAATATATTAGAACTTTATAATATATTAATATAAATCATAAATATACTATTCAAAAGACTATCCATATAAATTGTGCCGTGTGAAGTGCACCCAAATGGACCATGCCGGGTCGGGTCAAGTACATACCAAATATAGTTATGGACTTAGACATTAATCCAACAGTCTCCCACTTGGATAAGTCTAAAACTATTATTGAGTATGACTTCAAAACCTAACTGGCAATAGTATCTCTTAAAGCCGTTGTCGAACTCTGACCTTGTCAATGACTTGTCCATTAGATAAGGGATCATATATTCCTCCATTCTAGATATCATATGGACTGAGACATGGATTATAATCATTCTCTCTGTCCATTTGTTGTTTCCCGATTTCGATTTATGATGACTGACTGATTGAACAAATCAAATCAGTCCTGGCTTGGCCAAGCACTCACATGTGTCATCGCTCAATCATCGAGGGGCCCACAGATATCGCTTTTATCCCGAAGGTAAAAGGAATGGATAAACTTCGACTCATATGGCTTGTTCTACTACTTGTTGAATCATACACAAAGGCACGTTTTATAACATCGAGTTACCAATGCGTTTTTGTGCAATCAATGTATAACCAACTCATAGTAACAACTCATATCTCTAGGTTTGAAGAATATAAGATATTATCGTCTCATGATCACTCGTGATAAAATCCATGAAGTGATTCAAATGAGTTGGGTTGAATCCAATACTCAGAACTTATGAGCACTCATGAGTGTTGTAGCACCACTTTGTCCACCAACTTGGACCTCTACAAACCAACCCATGACAGTCTTGATTCATATCTACTTCCAACATATGACCGACTGTGGATGGTTTGAATAACTTAATCATTCAGGAAGAGCGACTTAGTTATTCTGGAAGTCAAAACATGCAAAGTGAAACACAAGAATAAATGAATCAAATATGGTATCAAACCCTATGAATATAAATAAACACTTTTATTTATCACCATACTGATTACTCATTATTCATTGTTTCGGTTTTATCAACTTTATACTTGAATTAAAAACACTAGTTGTCCCATGCTCCAAGCATGTACACTATGTTTTTCTTAAACAATAGCTTTGCCATACACCAAGTATGCACTCTATGTTTGTCTATGATCCTTACTTTGTGAAATAAACCAATTGAACATAATTTCAATGATTCTAATTTCACACTCCCAAATCCTTATCGAAAA